CGATGACATTGATAAAGCTGTTAGACACCAATTGCGTTCGGAAGAACGTCCAGTGTTTCAGACGACCATGATAGGATTCCACAATCCACCTCGATTTGGTGATAGTTCTGTCAAGATTTGCTTGGACGTCAGAATGTTGACTTTGACCGGGTTTCAGGTATGACGGCATGCTAGCATTGAGGCCAGAGGCTTCGAGAACTGGTAGGACATCTCTAAAACCTCGGTCAACGACAACGTTGTCGTCTGGTTGTAGCCAAGTAACTAGCTTGTCCATGACTTTTTTTGTAATTGTAGCATCATTTTCGCTGCCAGTGAATGGTCCTACTGTGTCCAGAATGTAGCCATCTGGTAAGGCGATGCTCATGAATTTGAGATAGTTTCTCTTCTTCTGGCCACAGTAGGACATTCTCTGGAGCTTGTGGTCGGAGCTTTTCTGGATATAAATATAGGTGCCATCTAATATGGCAGTGGCTTTATCTCCAAAAAATGCTTCTGAAAAGACAGTATTGTGCCCGAGCAACTGTTCTCTTGTCAAGTGATCCGGACCTAGAAATTGTGGGACTATCGATGTGTCTAATGCCTGTACTATGGAGTGGAAAGTTTTGGACACACTTGACTTGGAAATTCCAAAAAGAGAAGAACACTGACTCCAGGAAATGTCGGTTTTCAGTTTTACCCAGAACAGTAATAGAGCATCGTGTGTAGTCTTGGTATATATACCAGATGAAAGATATGGGGAACAGTGCGAGTGGATTTCGAGGAACTGATCTTTGGACCAACCTGTCCAGGCCATGCATGCCGAGTCATCAAGAGAAGAAAAGCTTATTGTAAACGCAGACTGGTTCTGTGAAAGGACGTGCGACACCTCTAGGAGGTCATTAATGATTTCGGACGATTTTGATGGTAACTGAGATTCCAAGGAACCTCTACCATCAAGGACAACCTCTGTAGACGGATCTAAGTCGTTACCAATAAGGTGAATGGAGCAGACGCGGGATGAGGTGGGACACCACAGTTTGTGTGAATAGATCAGGTGATGTCTTGCACGTTTTGGTAAGACTGATGATTTTGTTCCATTTCTTGCAAAGGTAACAAGACAGAGACAGCATTTTTTGTGTGAAGATGATCCATTCAAAAGATCATGAAGGGTCAGCAACGGCAGGATATGGGACGGGGAGTCGTCTTCTTCCTCTATTTCCTGGTTCTGCTCGGGTTCAGGTTCAGGCTGATTTTTGTTCCGAAGATACTTCATGTAGCACTTCTGGCAAATAAGTGCTTGTTCCTTTGCTGACATCAATCCTTGTTGCACCAGCGTATCTAGGAGCCATTTATATTGTGGACTATTTACATTGCGTGCACTTCTGTTCTTATTGCCACTACGTTTCTTGAAGTATACTTGACACCCTTCTCCAACACATTTACCCTCCATCTTGAAACAATAACGATTGGTTTATGAAGCGTCGATAAAGTAACAAAATAGCAAGCCACCGATGATTGCTGTAAACAGCTAATACTTAGTAGTTTGGTACAATTATGCGAAAATGTGTGATAAATAACGAACAACTAATTACACAAAATAACAAGACAATATAATAAATCACATTCAATACCTCCAAGAAGCGCAGAATTGATTGATTACTTAGAACAAAATAAAGTATTTCATATGGATAATCTATCTATTCGATGTGGCGTGGTCGGCAGGCACAAAGAAAGTGAGACAAGTCAGGGTCCCAACCCTGACAGAGCCACAACGCTTTGGAGATGGGACAATAAAACAAGGAAAGTGAGACAAGAATAGCTAGCGTCGAGTCAATGATTCCGTAAACGTATAGACAAAGACAAGAAGATACGGATAAATGTACAAGGCCACACGATCAGAAAATTCAGAAGAGGACAACTTGAGATAGAACAGTATTCATGTATCAGGGTGTCCTCAGTGTAAATCTTTATATCGATACTGTTTATTTAGTCGTTACACATCATAAAACTGTCATGAAAATATCCGCTCTGATATTCAATATAAAAGTTTGTATATAATAAGCTATATAATAGGGTTTCAGACAAGGTTGTTACTCATTTCCCCTTTTCTTTCAATTTACAACCACATTCAGGCGGCGATATGAGAACGTTCCACCACATGGAATTAGCTGATTTTTGGTACACATATGAAACAAGTAAAGCTCTATCCGATTTTCTGATGGAAATTTGCATCCAAAACTATATAACGGGAGAAAATTGCAATTTTATGGCATTTTTCTTCATAATTGTGTCTCTGCAAGTGCATTTTCATCCGAGAATATTTTTTTTTATGTTTTATGAATAAACACGATGTTTTGGAAATATTTATCAAAAGAAATTTATACTATGTTGCGAATTACAATTTCGAGATAACCTTCTTTTATTTACGAACTTATGTCTTTGATGCTGAAATTGACAACTTTATAAAAATACATTTTCACTGAAATTATGAAATCTGGGTGTCGGAAAGGTGTAAAATTATTCTTCGGAAAAGAAAAAAACAGTAGTTGAGCTAGATAAGAAATTATACGGGGGCAGGCTCCTATGGAGAATTAACATTACTGGAAACAGGCCCTTTCAGATATATAAAATTCGTGCTAGCTGGGCGAACCCTGTTCTCTAGCCTATATATCAGCTTTATAGCATATTTCCTGTATCTGTCAGTGTGTCGGCAGAAGAAATTCTATTATTTTAATAAAAGATGGGATGATGGGTGGTGTGATGGGTGATAATGGAAGGTGAAGTAGGTTCACGGAAATGATTTAAACATTCAGAAACAATTTATTTACGTGCAAAAAAGATCAGTTGGGAGCATTACATATATATAAAACTGTTCCCCTGCCCCGGGAACAGTAACCATGTATATATATTTTATATGTTCAAAGAAGAAAGATCTGATATGATTTACAACCAATTCGTTCCCTGTTGATATTTTTTTAACCCTTTTATTTCTAGTTTGATGTACAATGTATTCATTTTTGTGATTGCCTATTTTAACGTGTTGTTTGGCCCTAAATGACTCGCATTGTCGATGGGTCGTGAAACAATACAAAAACAAAACCTCTCTCTAGAAGATTCGTAAAATTGGTGTGTATATTTATAATATTTTGTCCGGCAATCTCCTCCTACATTTTTTGACCGATCTCTTTGAAACTTGGTATACATCATAATCATGATATGAAGTTGTGTCTCCCTTAAAAGAATTTTGATTCGACTATTTCTCCAAAAGTAATTGCCTTTTGTTCATTTCAGTATTTGAATTTTGTCCGGAAATCTCCGCCTTCATTTTTCGACGGATCTATATGAAACTTGGTATACATTATTATCATGATATGAAGTTGTGTCTCCCTTAAAAGAATTTTCAGTATTTGAATTTTGTCCGGAAATCTCCTTCTACATTTTTTGTTGGTCAAGGTCATTCATTTGACCAAACTTGGTAGCCCTTCATCCCAGCATGCTACAGTCTCAATATCAGTACCCTGGGCCTTTTGGTTATTGAGAAGAAGTTGTTTGAAGATTTTAAAGACATTTGACCCCGGCGACCTTGAAAGTGGGTCAAGGTCATTTATTTGAACAAACTTGGTAGCCCTTGATGCCAGCATGCTACAGACCCAATATCAGTTACCCGAGCCTTTCGGTTATTGAGAAGAAGTTGTTCGAAGATTTTAAGACATCTGACCCAATTTACCTTGAAATTGGTCATCGTAATTCATTTGAACAAACTTGGTAGCCCTTGATCCCAGCATGCTACAGGCCCAATATCAGTACCCCGGGCCTTTTGGTTATTGAGAAGAAATTGTTCGAAGATTTTAAGACATCTGACCCCAGTGACCTTGAAAGTGGGTCAACGTAATTCATTTGAACAAACTTGGCAGCCCTTGATCCAGCATGCTACAGCCCCAATATCAGTACCCTGGGCCTTTTGGTTATTGAGAAGAAGTTGTTTGAAGATTTTAAAGACATTTGACCCCGGTGACCTTGAAAGTGGGTCAAGGTCATTTATTTTGAACAAACTTGGTAGCCCTTGATCCCAGCATGCTACTGGCCAAATATCATCATCCTAGGCCTTTTGGTTACTGAAAAGAAGTTATTTAAAGAAAAAAAGTTGACGTCGGACAGACGGACGACGGACGCCGCACCATGGCATAAGCTCACTTGCCCTTCGGGCAGTTGAGCTAAAAACTCATTCATGGAAAATAATTTTGATTTTTTGCAGATCAGTTTAATAGATATGGATGTAAATATCAACCAACAAATTATAACATTTTATTACTCAGTTGAAAAAGGAAAGACATGAACTTAATGAAGTTCCTTTGTAGCACCGAAACGTAATTATTATCATAATAATTTGTTCTTTATGGCCCATCAACAAAGAAGATATCACTAGGGCCAATAGAAGGTGACAAAACAACAACATTTTAAAGGAAATGACATCAAACAAACGAAAAGAAAAAAGACAAAAAAAAATGAAAAGAAAAATTGTCTGGTTAGTCATCTTTTTTAACAGACCAGCAGTTGTACAAGGTAGGTAAGAATTGTAGAGACAATTTCTGTTTCGAAATGAGAAAAGCGATTTGATATATTGTCAGGAATCTTGCTCATGTTGTTCAATGCAATCTACAATGTAATAACATAACATGTGTTTATTGTTTGAAAGAAAATCTAAGAGAAAGTGACAGATTTCACTATATTTAGGATACCAGTCACCGGTTTTAGGTTTACAGAGTGAAATGTGTGACCGTGTTTGCAAAAGGTCAATGCAATCCAATAACAAGTCTTTTTACCGTAATGTGGTATAAACTGAGGCTGTTCTTCGCGCTTCATTAAATAAGAATAAATATAGCATGAAAGAACTATCTAGAGAAAGGCAAAGTCAACCTCGTCTCTACGGATTTCTCTATAGTTGGGATACCATTCATAAGATTTTAGATTTATATAGTGTAATGTGTGACAAACACATAAAGAGAAGAGAAACACCAAGCAAAAATTATAAGTTTTTTACTGATTCACACGAGATCTGTAGGTTTTTTACAAAAAGCAATGTCACCCCTGCCTCTGGACCAGACCGACACGTCTTCGTAGAGTCTAGAATATTTCTTGGGATAATGCAGCCGTCTACACATCTCACAAAACGGTCTAGTGCCCCAGTTATCATTATAATTTGTCTTGTGTATATTTCTATTTTCAAATAAGCGAGTAAATGCTGTTTTATTAGTCTTGATTTCAACTAAGTATTTAGATAATGATGTTGCATTTTCGAATCTAGAACTATCGATAAAAGTTTCCGGAGGGAGATAAAGGGAATAGTTTGCTCCTCCGCGCACAACAGGTACCAGGGAATGTGTATTAAAGACTTTATATGCCTTTTCTGTCATATAATCCCGACATAATGAATTTTCAAATGACAAGTAATATCGGGTGTCCTTCTCCACATTTTGTAGACAGTTTTTACCCCAAGCTGAAGCCGGACCAGACTCTTTGCAGATTTGTGTGCCACACCGGCCATATATGCTTACATCCATGTGTTTTTGAAGCAATTTAACGAACGTCTCCCTCCGCCCAGCAGTGTTACAGTGACCGACAAACCAGGTAGCTGTTCTATTCTTTCGAATTGACAACTCACCTATGTGACTTGCATTTTTATTGATGGTTTTCAAATGCGTGCTTTCAAAGGAACCATAGCGACTGATGATGTCAGAATCTCGGCGGTAGTTAATTGTCCAGTTGAACAATCGTCGCCATCGGTTCATATTGCTATAAAGGGTTGGTGGTTCTACCCCGTAATATACCCACACCTGACCAGCAGGTTTTTTCGGCGGTTTACCTCCCATTGTCGGAACGTGAAAAATTATGGCGCTCTGGACCGCCATCTTTGATTTATCTGTCGTAAGCACACACTTATACTCACAGCCACGGAACATATTTGAATATGCCCAAGAAGGAATATTCCAAAATAGAACCGTCTTTACTGTTAGCTTGATACTTTCTGTATCTTTTTCTTTATAACTTTGTTTCACATAATCGTATGCTGCTATTTTCGGTGACAATATAACCGTACTACTCCATGCGTGTTCCTGTGCATCAAAGTAAAGGAAGCCAACAAACGTCCCAAATATCAATAGTGATAGACAGTAATATAAAATGACCTGGCGGGACTGAAAAAGAAAAAAAGAATATAGGTTAGTCAACACTAAGTAGAGGTTTCGTTCAGAGTACTATTTGCAGACAGTCACAGGAGCTATTTAGTAGAATTGTGAACGTTTATCTCATCTTCTTTTGACTGGAATTCAAGTTTTGGGATTGAGCGCACATTTCACATTTAAGGATCCTTTTCCAACTGCACCCTGTTTTTTTCCTATATAGAGTATTATGTGCATGGTGCTCTCATAAATAGCATGTCACAACTAACCCATGCATGCTATATTCTCTGGGTTAGTAGACATAAAACGCGTAGGTGACCTACTTATGTTCTAAACGCCATTGAACAGAAGAGTTTTAAGTAAGTGATTTTAGCTAAGGCCATAATGTTTTGCTATCGGTTGCTGTTCAACCGGTGTTTTCTCTATTATAATCAGGATACGTTTATCAAACATTGAAATAACATTTACATAGATAACCACTTACATAGGGGATGACGCTCTGTGCCATTTTAGGGGCACTTTGTTTGATCTATTCACTATTGTCCTTTTAGTGTCCGAGTGTGATGTTCATCTGCTGTCTATTGTCCGATTGTTATGTTGATATTCTGTCGATCTGGTGTCCAAATGCAATCTTCATTTACGGTTGGCTCCGTTTCTAATCACCAGAATTATGAATCAATGGTGAAATCCGTCTGAAGGTTTTCTGTTTAATTAAAAAGTAATAAAAATAAGGAATTAGGAGTATTTGATCATTTTAATTGATAGTTATTGCATTTACAAGGTGTTTTGCCTTCCATGCATTGCATGTGTAAAAGACTTTAAATTCAGTTTGTATGTTGAGGAAGCCGTCCTACGAGGAGATAAATACTGTTAATGGTATTGAAACCAGGGCCCCAACCCTGGCGATATCTAATTCCATAGGTGTATAAAAACACTGCCAGTAATTTTGAAGCAATAGTTACGTCTAGCTGTGCATTAAACAACTGGGCTCTGTATTGTAGCGTTTATGCTTGTCACGTATGGAGTTAAAGTCATTGACTTAAAAAGCAATACAATGGTTCGTGACTTTTTATTAAAATACGGCAAGAAATTGAATTGGAAAATTGTTTTGAATAAAATCCTTTAGAGTACTCCAAACACTAAGTGTCTATGTATATATAATGATTACGAATGTTACAAATAGAAATCTAATAGAACAGCTAACCTTCTTAAATATTTAAACTGCAAGGCAATTTTCGTTGGATTTATAGAGCATTTTACCATCTGTTCCTGCACATTAACCCTTCCTCTCGTGGTTTTGTTGGTTGTAAAGGGCAACAGCTTAGGTAATTAAATTATTTGCTGTTAGTTATAGTAAACTTTTGATTTTAAGATATTATTTTTTTTGGTTTTGGTTTTATTATGTTTAACGTCCTATTAACAGCTAAGGTCATTTAAGGACATTCCTCTATGCGTGTTGTGCATGTGTGCAGTATAGGCAGGATGTTTGTGTATTTGCCTCCTTCTGATATCTCGGATTTGATGCAAAATTTAAAGTGCTATCTCACTGAAATACCATGCCGAAAGGCATCCACCACAGCATTCCACCTGTTGCCTCTCATGATTAATTCTCGTTACTTCATAAAAGGAATTCATTGAGAAATCAATCTCTCTTAAAGTTGAATTTGTTCAAGCTTGTTCAAATACATACAGAACATTGACATGCAGTTAAGATCGATTCAACAGTGCGAAGATTAATATTAAAAAAAATTCAGGAAAGTCATGTTTACTTGTGTTTGTATGTATGGGGTTTAACGTCTAAACGTAACGTCATATGGAGATGGATGCTTAAAGAGACACTGCAGAGGGGAAAGGAGAGGTAAGCGCGATAAGAAATGATAATTATCCCAAGTGTAGTCTCGTTCAACCAGACTATTGTTGTCTGCGCAAGCTATGCCGAACAGAGTGTCTGCGTAACTCACCCTTTTCAACCATTGAAGTCAGAATTTGAGTGGCGAAAATTGTATTGAATATTTTAATTCGTGTTTTCACTTTTATCGAGAAAATTGTAAGATAATGCTTCAAATCTCAAGAATGATTGCATATATTCTAAAAGGATATTTTACAACAATTCATGAAGCTAACAAGGCTATTGATACAGGTCAAGCCAGCCTACTTGGGTGAAAAGGTAAAATTTCACTTGTTCTTGTTTTGAATGTTTTTCCAACCTCAGTTAGCCTTGTTGGCTTTGTGCTCAGTTATGATTTATTCAGTGGAAATACATGTACTCACAACAGCTAGTGTCATGCGAATCTACCAAAATAATACTGACATTCCTCAGTATCACATTGAAGCAGATTATGAGCAAGAAAACGAAGGCTCGGTAATATAAATTAAACATTCTTCCATTTAATATCAGTCTGAGGTTTACACGGAAGATACGTTCTAAACGTTGCAAATGAAAAGTTGCATAATGATCATTACACGTCTAGTTTTATAAAACAACACTGAATGTTACGAAAACCATCTTTGTTTTGAGACGGTTAGCCTCTCCATAGCTATAGTAATCTATTAACTACACGTGACCTGAGCTTCTGATAAAATATCATAAGTAGCATTTAATTGAATCGCATAAGATTGTTTAATCATCACGATCACAAAGCCCTTGGTATAGGTTAACCGGGCAGTTTACTATTACCTCGTTCGTTTATCGCCATCCAAACGGTTAGACGAGAGTTGTTCGTGTAGGAAATACGATAGGACCTTGTTATCTGGTGCTGCTTTCAGGCAAGCCTCGACAAAACCTTACAAAGCCTGGATATACCAGTCATCAGCTTTAATGCCTTTTTACAGACTATAGGTAAAAGCCGATATGTGCCATTTTAATAACTTTTCAAAGTTCAATACATGCCAAGTACATATCTAAATTCCGACGTTTGTTGTGGTATTCTTTTTGACTTGTACCGATATGAACAAAAAAAACCATTATTTTCATTATCAGTAAACATGGCTGAACCATACAAAAGTTAATCAGTAGTTAAAAGATCTGAATTCAAATCCCAGAAGTTTTTCTCCTGGGGATATTTATGGCTTCTACATACAATTGACATTACTAAAAATAATGCTGAACATTTTCGTTAGGATAAAAACATCTGCATGACTGATTTACATTAATACGTTTGAGGACAGATCATACGGAACTGCAGTCATACCCGACAAAGTCTCAAGTGACCTATTGCGATCGCCTTTTCTCCGGTGTCGTCCGTCGTGCGTCCGTAAACAATTTACATTTTCGACTTCTTCTTCAAAACCCCTGAACTAATTATAATGAAATTTTGCAGAAAGCTTCCATGGCCATAGGTCAACTAAAAAAAAGTGGCCGGTTTGGTCCCCAGCCCCCAGGGGCCTGAGGGGTGGGGCCAAAAAGGGTCAAATTTACTAAAATTTCAAAAATCTTCT